GCTGCGATGCTTTATTATTGTCTACTGACTTGATGCATAGAGGCTTACACAATTCCAGTATTTATAGCTTATACACTGGACCAGAAATAGTAAATCATCGAAATCTAGAAAGAATTTAAATCTACTAACAATCTCCTAAAAATCTCATAGTTTGAATATTTGAATCATATCTTCATTTTGAATCATATCTTCATTTTGAATCATATCTCAACACTCCCCCTTGATTCAAAGTTGCAAATGCCAAGTAATCGTCTGAAGTAGCAAAACTTTTCTTTTGACAAAGCCTTGGTAAGTATGTCTGCTAGCTGTTCATCGGTGTTACAATATTCCAAGACAATTTCTTCGTCTGCAACAAGATCACGAATATAGTGATGTCGAAGTTCAATATGTTTTGTTCTACTGTGAAACGCTGGGTTCTTTGTCATAGAAATAGTTGCTTTATTATCACAAAATATCTTTGTTGTCCCTTTTTGCTCTTGTTGAAGGTCAGCTAACATTCTTCTTAGCCAAATGGCTTGACACGCTGCTGAAGTTGCTGCAACATATTCTGCTTCTGATGTTGACAGCGCCACTGTTGCTTGTTTCTTTGAGCTCCAAGTGATCGCTCCTGACCCTAAAGTGAAAACATTGGCTGAAATGCTTCGTCTATCATCTAATGATCCTGCCCAATCACTATCAGTGAATCCATATAGTTTGAAATTAGAGGATTTAGAATACCAAATTCCATACTCCATAGTTCCGGCAATGTAACGTAAGACTCTTTTTGCTGCTCCATAATGAACCTTTGAAGGATGTTGCATAAACTTAGAAATAATACCAACAGGAAATGCAATGTCGGGTCGTGTGTGAGTTAAGTAAATCAGTCCGCCAACCAAGCTCCTGAACCTTCTAGCATCTGTCATTTCTGCTCCATCATCATGTTGTAATTTCTCATTAATATTCATAGGTGTAGCTGCAGGCTTACAATTAAGCATACCAAATTTACTCATAATATCTTTGGCATATTTTCTTTGTGAAATAAAAATTCCATCTTCAACTTGATATACTTCAAGACCAAGAAAATAGTGCAATAGACCCATATCTGACATCTCAAATTCACTCATCATTTGAGACTTAAATTTATCCAAAAGAGAGTTAGAAGAGCTAGTGTAAATAATATCGTCAACATAGAGGCAAATAATGATGAAATCACTTTTACCTTCCTTCTTCACATATAAAGTAGGCTCATTCTCACTTCTCATGTAACCTTTCTTTTGAAAATACCCATCAATCTTGCTGTACCAAGCTCGAGGGGCCTGCTTTAATCCGTATAGTGCCTTTCTCAACTTGTATACCTTTGTTTCTTTGTCCTTCTTTATGAATCCTTCTGGTTGTGCTACATAAACCTCTTCTTGTAAATCTCCGTTAAGAAATGCTGACTTAACATCAAACTGATAAACTGGCCACCGCAATTCTGCTGCTAATGCTAGAATAGTTCTTACAGTTTCAAAACGAGCTACTGGAGAAAAAGTTTCTTCAAAATCTATACCTTGTTGTTGTGCATACCCTTTTGCTACAAGACGGGCCTTATGCTTTTGTATGCTTCCATCTGGTGCAAATTTTGTCTTGAACACCCATTTCAAATTGATTGCATTTTTTCCGTTTGGTAAGTCAACCATCTCCCATGTTCCATTTTTCTCAATGGACTGCATCTCTTCTACCATGGCTTTCTTCCACTCTTCTTTTTCAGCTGCTTCGTCATAACACATAGGATCTGAAACAGTAAGAGCAAATTGACATGATGCATATATGTCAGTTAAAGATTTATACTTCTTTGGAGGTGTCTCATCTGAAAGTTCTTCAAGAGAAGAATCACTGTTTAGTGATGCTGAAGATGATGAATTTGACACATTTTGTGTTGCAGTGGAGACACTAGGAGATGCACTGGAGTTGACCCTTGTTTCTTCATTTGGGGAAACTTCAACTGTAATCTTTTGCTGCTCCTGTTCTTTACTCCAATCCCAACTCACATTTTCATTAAATATTACATCCCTTCTAACTAAAATCTTTTCACTGATGGGGTTGTATAATTTATATGCCTTTGATTGAGTACAATAGCCAATGAAAATGCATTTTTCAGATTTTTCATCAAGCTTTTGACGAACTTGAGGATGTTTCAAAGCATAAGCAACACAACCAAAGATTCGTAAATGACTTACAGATGGTTTCCTTCTATGCCATGCTTCATAGGGAGTTCGATTCATAACCGCCTTTGTTGGTGAGATGTTTAATAGATAAACAGATGTTGCTACGGCTTCTGCCCAAAATTGGTCTGGAAGTCTCCTTGCTTGTAACATACTTCTTGCCATCTCCACAATAGTTCGATTTTTCCGTTCAGCGATTCCATTTTGTTCTGGAGTGTAGGGAGCTGTTAATTCCCTTTGGATGCCCTCTTCTTCACAGAACAGATTGAACTCTTTAGATATGAACTCGCCACCTCTGTCTGTTCGAAGAACTTTAATGTGACAGCCACTTTGGTTCTCTACCATAGCTTTAAACACCTGGAACTTCTGAAAAGTTTCTGACTTATGTTGTAGGAAGTAGACCCAGCTCATACGACTATAATCATCAATGAATAGTAAAAAATATATACTCCCACCCAAGGAATTCGTTTGCATTGGCCCACATAAATCAGCATGAATTAGTTCTAGACAGTGTGAAGCTCTTCTAGCTTTTCCAACCGGAAAGGACTTCCTAGTCTGCTTGCCATAAATGCATCCTTCACATAAATTAGTTGAGTCAATTCTTGGTAATCCGAAAACCATACCTTTATTCCTGAGTATTTTCAGGCCGTTCATATGAAGATGTCCATATCTGAGATGCCATAATGTTGAGTCATCTTTCGTGCTAGCCGCAAGAGCAAAATCCTCAATGTTAGAAATATCAAGTGGAAACATCTTATTTGAAGTCATGGCAATTTGAACTTTATGACCTGATTTTTTATGTGTAATGACACATGTGTTGTCATCAAATAGAACTGAATGTCCTCTAGTCATCAATTGTCCAACACTCAATAAGTTATACCCTAAATCAGGTACAAATTGAACATTATCTAATTGTTTTATCTTACCATGACTGGTTTCGACTTTCACCGTACCTTTTCCCTCAACTTGCATCTCTTTTGTGTTTCCAAGTTGCACCTTAATTTTTTGCGTCTCATCCAGCTCTTTGAATAAGGATTTGATGCCTGTCATATGGTTCGAGCATCCGCTATCAACAAACCATAAGTCACCTTTTCTTGGATTAGTATCCATGCACGCCATAAGCAGCTTTTCTTCTTCTTCTTCATTCTCTGCTGCAAAATTCATTCGTTGATTTTTATACCAACAATTAGATTTTGTGTGCCCATACCTTTTGCAATAGTAACATTGTATGACATTCCTTTGTTCATTGAATTGTCTCTGTCCATCACTTCTCCATCTACCCCTGTTATCACGACCACCATGGAAGCTGCGAAATCCTCCTCTTCCATGACTTCTATCTGCTAAATGACTATTTTCTCTTCCGTTGTTGGTTGTCTCCTTCACTTGTAGTGCCTTTTCTTCGTTCCTTTCTGATGCTCTGTTGATTCTTGCCTCATGAGCCTGAAGCGAGCCCATCAGTTCATCAACGGAGAGTATGGATAGATCCTTAGCTTCTTCTATGGCGGCCACCACATGGTCAAACTTTGGAGTCAAGCTTCTCAACACCTTTGCAACAATTGTTTCGTTTGAAATTTTCTCTCCATAGGTACGCATCTGACTGACTATTGCCATTGATCTTGACAAAAAATCAGCAATTGATTCGCCATTCGTCATGAGTAGAGTTTCAAAATCACGTCTTAGAGATTGCAATTTCACTGTCATGACCTTTGAGTCTCCTAGAAACTCCTTCTGTAGAATTGACCATGCCTGCTTTGATGTGGTTGCTGCTGCAATTCGTGAAAAAATAGTCTCATGAACTGCTTGCTGAATAATGAATAGAGCCTTGGCATCGTTTTTCTTGGTTTCTCTTAGTCTCTCCTTTTCTTCTATTGTGGGTTCTAATACATCAGCAAACCCGTGCTCCACCAAGTCCCATAGCTCCTGCGATCTGAGCAAGGTCTTCATCTTGATGCTCCACCACTCATATTTCTCACCATTAAAGATTGGTAACAACGGTGCAGAGGAAGAAAAACCAGCTACTGCCATTTTTGTTTTGTGAAAGAAAATAATCACTCGCCCTCGTGTCGAACGAACCTGGCTCTGATACCAAAATTGTTGGAAAGAGGGATAGTGAAAGAGATAAGAATAGATGAATGCTGCGATGCTTTATTATTGTCTACTGACTTGATGCATAGAGGCTTACACAATTCCAGTATTTATAGCTTATACACTGGACCAGAAATAGTAAATCATCGAAATCTAGAAAGAATTTAAATCTACTAACAATCTCCTAAAAATCTCATAGTTTGAATATTTGAATCATATCTTCATTTTGAATCATATCTTCATTTTGAATCATATCTCAACAGGGTCGCCATGGAAGCACCGTTATCGGTGATGTAGGCGCCATTTTTCAGTAGTAGGTGAAATCTAGAAGGTTTGGTTGATGAATTGCGATTTAAATACTGCTTGGATCCGCCATTGAATCTGGGCCTGGCCCAGCTCAAACCAGCCCAATTTCAGTGCTGAAGAACGACGAAAGCGCAGCTGCTACCGGCCGTAATTAGTTTAAGACAAAATAAAACTAAATGGATCAATATGCAAAGGAGGTTAGTAACCTGTGGCATGACTTGAAAGTGACTTTTATAGGCAATCAAATCGTGGATGCACCATCTTTTATGGGCCATTGCTTTTTTTCCTGATCCGTCCCCTAAAATTGTGTTTTCCTTTTCTTTTGTTGCTAAAGCAAACTGTATTATTGCATGCTTTTTCAGAACAGGCCACCACACAAAAATCAAGCTATTAGCACGGGATTTACGGGCGTCTCCTTTTTTCTAGCTGCGTTATAGTCGTTGTCGACCTATTTAATTGTCGTGGTGGTGTGTCTTTAGCCTACTTGTTAAGGCGGAGTTAAGCTTTTATGCTCCTCTTGATTGTAAGATTTGTCTTATATATTGTATGCATCATGGACAGTGTACATTTCTACCGGGACCTCCATAGTAAAAATAAGTGCCCCAAAGCTTGTTTTTGCCTTGTCTAATATCATAGCAATTTGGATGATCAGCCAAGAGACGAAGGTTCGAGACCGGAAGCAAACTGTTGTCCCAATCAATTATTTGCAGATTTCTGAAATAAGAAGCTTTTCCATATCCTTCTTCTGCAAAATGCCCACTTCCCATCTGTGTTGATGTGTGGAACCCTGTTGATCTTGTGTTTACTACTTCTCCTCCAAATTGGATCATGCTGGCATGGCTTCCCAAGTGACTGAACAAATATGCTGGCCAGTACCCTACTAACACACCCTGCCCAAACTCCAGCCACCAGTTTCCGTGCCTTGGATCCTGCATCGAGAATCCATCGGTCAAAACCCGAGAACGAGACTTGATAAGTGATAGTTCATAAACTTCGATATCTTCGAAGTTGCAGGTCTTTTATGAAATTAGTCGAGATGTGCGCAAATGATAAAGTAGACATGCCATTAGCCTCTTGATATGGAGCCTAAAATGATTACTTGACAAACAAAATCTTGAAAATAATTGAATCTTTTGACTGCATAAAAGCAAATAGGGGATCCCCAAGCATCTGTCTCTATTGTTAGTAAATCTTGTTATGCATCGTTGTCAATCTCACCGTTTTAAAACATGTCTATTAGAGAGAAGTTTTCACATCTTTACAAGGAATGTTTCGTTTTTCTCTCCAACTGATGTGTGTAGCTTTGATATCATTTGTAATAGTCTAAGTACACCTCTAGTACATATTATTCGTTTTGGTTTATTATCAGCTTCACGGTTTTAAAATACATCTACTAAAGAAATTTTTACACCATTATAAAAAATGTTTCGTTTCTCTCTCCAGGATGGTAATCAAATCATGACAAGGGTATAGAAAGAAATAGAGTCGTATCAATGGCAAGGGAGAAATTGTTGCTTATGAATGATTAAGGTTAAAAAGGGTTACTTTTTGTTGAAGCAAAGGTGAAAACTAGGTGTTCTATTCATTCAGCGACGGATCTCTCTCTCTTTCTACATACCATATTTTGTCCTTTTTTGGGTTGGATTTCATTGGATATTGAAGAACACTCACCTTCCAAATCATTAAACCCATATCAAATTGTCTGCCATTGTAATAAGATCTTGGAGATATTGCAGCTCCAATGGCAATCTTGTTATTAGTTTGGACAAAACCAGAGCACAGCAAGTTGTAGCAGCCTGTTTCTCGGTATGCATCTGTCTGAAAAACCACAAGTGACACACAGAAACAAGGTCAGAAAGAAGCCAGAAACTTGTTGAAGAATACTTCAAAACACAGTAAAATAAAACTCACCGTCCAGTAAGTGAAGAATCTAGGATAATTATCTCCATATAACTCAGGGCTAACCTGAATAAGTCATTTTTTCTCAACATGAACAGATGAAAATGAAAAGAACAAAATGCAAAGGAGTTAGAGAAAAACATGCCTGCCAACCAGCTTCAATGGTGTTTAGATCATTGTTGAATGATCCAGAAATAACCCAGATTTGAGACAAGCTGAACTCATACTCATCGCTCACATGGGGTGCCCAGACATTTATGTTTGCTTTTGCTCCATAGTATTGCTCTCCATTAACAAACACAACAGCATGCTGAAACATATTGAAAGTAAAATCATCTGAAAATTAAAGAAGAACAAGAGGAAAATATGAACCTCATGGCCACTGCCTGATGAGTCCCTTCTCACAGATTTTAATGGCTTTTTCCCAAATCTTTGGACAGAGCTTGCTCTTAAAATGTCTTGTTCTGTAGTTCTTCTAATAGGAATAGTTCCTTCAGGGCATGATTCACCACTCTGCCGCCATAGCTGGAAGCTCGCTGCAAGTGAATCGGCTGAGGAGTTGTAACCTTTTGGCCTATCTGGGGGATCCTGAAAATTGAAATGTAATTTGTGTTTCTCTCTGATTCTAATGTGTATGTTCCATTTTGTTTACAGTAAATTCAAGTTACCAGTGGCAGTTGCTGTTTGAGTTTATAATGATCAAAAGCAGGTTGAAGATGAGAAAGAACACAATCGATTAAATCTCCATCTGGGCTCTGAAAATGAACAAAAAAAACCCTTGAGAAACCAAAAGAAACAGAGGAAAAAGAAATGAAACCATGCCTGAATTATCTTGACGGAGGGTTTATTGATGTTCTTCAAGTGAGCTTCAACTCCGCTCAATTTCTGGAACTCTGCGGCGGTGGGTCTGAAATCCTCCGCCGCAATGGACGGTGCCAGCAGAACAGAGGAGGTCGAAACTATGAGAAACAGAGCAACAAAAGCCGCTAATAACATCGAGAGGAATGTTTTGAAGTGTCGTTTTGGTAGAGGAACACGTGTTTGTACGTATTGGGGTTGTCGTATTAGAGCAAAGAAGAAAAGAAAAGGTTTACAGAGCTTCTAAACACTCGGCTTCTTCCTTATTTGCTTCCAATTCTCTGCACGTCCTTACAAAACAGAACGAACCATTCTCCTCAGAAACAAAAACGCACATGAATTTCTTAACCCAACACCCCATTTTCTTCAAGAAAAGCTTCTTAGCTTCGTTAATGGCGGACCCAGATGGCTGGGGAGCGAAGAAGAAATGGGCATTCGAAGATGGATGTAATGGACGAGACAAACATGGCCTGAATCTTTTTCTAATGTTCTATTATTTCACCTGCAAGAACTGGTTCCTCTGTGATACAGTTGGTTGCAGTACACTTTGTTTTTCCTTTTTTTTATCTGAAAGCACCACAAATTTCTTTCTCCTCCCGACCATACACACATTTTCCAATTAATCAACTCATCCCACTCAAATTCTGCCTTTTATGGTAACTATATAATAAATTTCTCAATTGAGTTTATTTATTCAGTTGGAATATTTTATTTTAGTATATATTTTCATATCTATATTTTTCAAATATGCTAAATTAAATTTTTTTTTAAAAAAAAAACATAGGTCTCAAAAATACCTTTTAAAAATTATTCTTTTAAACTTAAAAATAAAAAATAAAAAATCATTTAAAGGGGGAACTAGTAAAGAATAGACCACTAACTAGATGTCCGAGAGAACAATAGAAAGGAGGAATAGATTATCTAATTAGTTAGAAAAAGGTCGAGTCGAAGAAGAGGTGAAATCCAAAGAATCACCCCTTCCCAAGGTACAGGAACGGTTTCATGATATGGAGGATATGGATTGCAATAAGGCCGGAGGTTTCTGCCCGAGACGATTAGCTAGTTTGTCAAATAAAGGCTATAAACTCCTGTTTTGGCTAATTCAATGTAATCATATAAACGAAATTCCATATAGATTAGACAGATAAACTTCACCCTTAGCTGCTTTCAAAAAAAAAAAATTTTGAAAAAAACTTTTTTCATCAATATCAGGTTTCAAAATATTTTTTTAACCTAATACTTGTGGTAAAGGTGTTTTTATTTTTATTTTAAATGAAATGTTTTATTTAATTAAATGGTAATTTTAAAGCTTAATCTAATTAAATTGGAAAATCAAATGCTTTTAGAAAACAAAATGAAAGTTAAATATAAAAACTGATTCGGGCCCATTAATATTTGAGTTATGGGCCGATATTGTGGACTCGATTATTATAGACCGATTTTGGCAGCGACAAAAAAAATTATGGTACATAGGTGGTCAGAAGCTTATTTAGCTTTATTTTACACAAAATTAAAATTCGTACATAAAATTAAAATTACCTCTCACCTGCAACGCATACAATACATTAATGTTACAAAAAAAAAAAAAAAAAAAAAAAAAAACAGCACATTAGTACCATACTTTTTTTTTGGTCGTGGTTAAAAAATGTATACTCGAGCGAGGGACATTTTAATGATAAAAATAATATATCGATGTAACACATATTTTATAAACAAGAGACTAGACTATGGAATATATAAAGTTAACCAAATTTTTTGTAATCTGATATGTGAATTTTAATTAATAATGTGTTTAGAGAATTAAAAATAAAACATAGAACCAAACATCTAATTAATTGTTGATGAATCTCCCAAGAGTTCAATATAAGCCTGCGATCTCATCGTTACTTTTACTTTCCTGCTTCTTTGTCAACACTAAATCTTCTCTTCTGGTTGAAAAATGGCGGCACGTCTCAGCCTCACTCTACGCCATCCGTTTCTTCCCGCCAGTTATCCAATTCCAGCCAGGGCTACTCAATTTCGCAGATGCGCAGTTGAGAACTGCGTCTCCGACTCATATGATTCGCGCAAGGTACTAAGCTTCCACTCCATTGTCTACCAACTAATTCTAGTTCCCGTAAGGTGTTATCGGCTGCCGAGAGAGAGTTATTTTTCACGAGAATGCGATGTTTGAGTTCGAAGTAGGTCTAAGAACTTATTTATGTTTATGTCTATAATTTGATGAAATTTGTCTCGGAAGAGTAGAAGCGTGTTTAATTTCTGTCAATCGAACAATATGCAGCCATTATCCTATACAAGGTTTTTGCACATTTTGACGGGTAGTTATCTGAAGATTGAGTGGCTTCATATGTATATATTTATATGATGATGAACTGTATAGCTTATGGTTCTTGATTTCAAGTGTTGCAGCTCGTCTTGGAAGTGAAGGAGAAACTCGAAAGAGAATATAGTAGTCTTCCTCTTGGTCGGAATGGAAGAGACGATGAAAAGATGATACTCTGGTTTCTGAAGGATCGAAAGTTTTCCGTTGATGATGCGGTTGCAAAATTAACGAAAGCAATTGTAAACACTTGAACTCCCTTTTTTTTTTTTCAAAACAGCATGTCTCTTGTTCATGTGGTGTTGCAAATATTTACATGGTTTATATTGAAACTCAAGTTAATGTGGGAACTG